TATTAAGCTAAGAACAGCATACAATTATAACCGTATCACCGCAAAAACGTTCCTGTTTGTGTATAGATGGTTCGTATAAGAAATTGATGACTTCGCAGAAAGTGTGCCCCCTGGCTCAAAAGCTGGTTACGTGATTGCTAGGTGGTTAGTCATGCTAAAAACCCTTCAACAGTTTTTTGTTTATATCACACGTATGGCGTATTTTTCGTCCAGACTTTCTGTACACATCCCCTTTCTTTGCGCTTTTGTTTGTAACTGTATTTGTCAATAGCAAGATGGCACAGTGACAGAACGGAATCGTTGGCCGCGTAGCCAGAACGTCGCATAGAGTTTTGCTGTCATAAAGGGGCTTTTTGGAATCAAGAGAATTTCTCAGAGTTCTAAAACAATACCTGGCCTACGGACACGAGACGAATTGTTACCAGAAAAACGATAAGATCACAGTGGATATACAGACCGCATGCGATGAAATAACAATATCTGAACACAATGGTATCTCTGGCATTAGATGTTGGTATAGCGCCCTGCTTGCGTGACCGGAATTTTTGCTTCTTGTTTGCCAGGAATAAAGTTTTCGACTTGGTTAGCAGAGAATTTGCCTGAAGGCTGGTGTGCAAGGGACATGTGTAGTCAAATACACAGGTCGGTCGTGTTGATCCCCGCGTTTGCGTGAGTCGTAAAGTAGCGGCGGGAACTCAATTGCTCTATTGCGTTTGCTTTGAATCTCGCAGGAGAGGAACAACAGGTAGGAATAATTTGTCCAGTCTGCTGTTCCTTAGTGCTATGATTCCTTAACGCTATGATTTCTATTGAGTTTGACGACCACAACCTGGCTAGAGTCAAATCCAAACCATTAGGACGAAGCGTCGGCTCGGACTTATCGCCCCAAAAAAAGGCGTCGTCTGCGGGTGGGCGCAAACCGCTTCAAGGTGAGAATGCGACAACTTGTTCTGTTTTGTCCACCTACAAAATTTCATGTCACCTAATAGGTTCCTGTCATTTCTATATTGGCCTTGTGGACTGCTCGGAATCTGTTTGCGGTGTCAAGTGTAGAACAAAATGTTTACTAGTAAACTAGATCCGCCCGTCGGCTCTTGTAGCGACCAGCTTCCGAGGTCAAGCGATCGCATATACCCAGTATAAAACGGAAACGTTACATCAACACCCACGAAGTCACCGTTACGCTAAGAGTGTCACACCTTACGAACAATAGGGGACCGCCGATCATTGAAATGGAAGGGGTCACGTGTTCAGTTGGACGCGTGATGCTGCTCTGGTTAGATAAGATATTTCAAGCTGTTTAATAACTGAATGAAGCGTAAACTATATA